GGTAATGTCACGGCCATAATCATATAAGCTAATAATTACATATAGAAATAGATAGAAGTAAGTAAAAGTAGATAAAAGTAAGTTAATTCTATAATATTTAATATAGAAGCTTCCTAGAAACTTCATAGACGCTGCTTTGACTTCATAGGTGTCTTTAATTGACTTTTTGGATTAGAAACGTGGTCAACAAGTTGGCCATGTGCCACACATGTTGTTAGCTTGAAGATCAAGCTAACTATGTGGCCCACACGTAGAAAAACTTGCCTTGTAAGTCAAGGCATGTGTCCTACAAAGTCAACACATATTGGAGGTCCTATAGAACGTCGCCACGTAGCCCCTAGTTAGATAGTATATATAGAGACAAGAGTGAAGGCTTCTTCACTCTTGTCAACTCCTTTCTTGCTTCTAGTCCAGGTTCAAGAGTCTTTAGTTTCTTGTCTTGTGGCAATAGCCATTCCAGTTTCTTTTTAATATACCTACTTGTTTATATTTTGACTTATTATATCGAGATAGCCTTTTTGTGTATATTTTCCCTCATCGAGTCTTTGTCCTTGACACATGATCCAATTGAGCAACCTACAATTGAATTATATTTTATAAATTTTTTTCTTGATAAATATATAATAACAACTCTACATGTGACAATGTTACTTAAAAGCTTGAGTAGGTTGCCAATCTTCTTATGTAGCATATTATTATTATTACTATAAATTTTTTTTAAAAACTTCTATAACTTAGCCATCTACTACATGTATAAAATTAATTGAATATTGCATATCTAAAGAAATAAAGTCCTTTATTAATTTAAGAATAAATCAAATATTAGCCTATATTCTTATAGTTTTATAAAAATATTTAGTACAAGCTATACCAATTTCTAAAGTTTTTTATAATATATAATTTATAATTAATTAAAATATATATTTTAAAAAATATTTTATAAAATTTTATTATTATAATTTAATAATTTTTTTTGAATAAGTTATAGAATTTTAATGAACTAAAAATTGTCATAAATATTTTTATTTTGATAAAATTAAATCATTTAAAAACATATGTACAAGTATATATATTTATATATATTTATACATATTTATATATAATTATAAAGATATTTATTTATTTATATTATTTTTTAAATTTAGTAATATAAGTGCATTATTAATTCTACAACTTGTGTACACATATAAATATAAAATTCAGCCAAATGCATCTATTTATTAATCATTATCCAATATTATATAAGAATGTATAGCTCCATTAATATTTATAGATTTATTAAGATCAGTTGTAGTGTTTCACTAATTTTTAAAATATTAAAATAATAATATTATATTTTATAACATAATCATATTTAAAACTATCAATATTTTATTTTTGATCTATATAGTGATGCTATGGCTTCATTCTATAGCCTAAAAATAATTTACACTATAAAATTTATAAAAAAAATATTGTATCATTATTTGTCTTAATTGTTAATTTAACAACCAAATATTATTTCTATTCAATCAACTTCTCTCCTATATCTTCATATAATAGATCCTAAAGCAAAAAACCAAGCATCTATAGAAACTCTAGGATTCTTTGGTTGATTAAAGAGTGGAGTTTTGTGAGCAAACAAGAGTAAGGTTTTTTGAGCATTAGTTTCAAGTGATTTGAGTACGAAACAACTTTATAAAGACTTTTCAAAGTTGGAGATATTTTCAAGTGACTTGGAATTTTGAGAAATTTATAGAGTTGATACTTTGGACAATTGTATAAGATTTGTAGATGACCTATAAGTAAATTTTTGTGATTAAGTATTCAATATTATGCATGATCTGGTTTGCAAGTTTGAGCTTGATCTAATGGTTTGTTAAAAGTTTATTGAAGCTTAAACATATTGAGGACTTAAGAATTGAGGTTTAAAGAACTAAAGAGGATTTTTAAAATATCCATTGATCTGATATTTGGATTGAAGAAAAATTTTACATACAATTAGTAAACTTGACTTACAAAAAATTTACAAAATTTAAAACCTACTCAATAGTTAAATTAAGAGATTTTGATTTTAGAATATTGGCATCAAAGTTAGAAGAAGAGATTGGCCAACCTCAAAGCAAAGTTTAGAGGTTATCTACTATTTTGTGTGTTTGATCTTCTTCTAATTGTTTATGCTTGTTGTCAACATAATTATTGAAAAGTATGCAAATTTTAAGTCAAAATCAATGGTTTGATCATTAGTTATTGATAATTCAATTTGCTATGGGATTTAGGATTTGTTTGGGGCTTGATTAGGATTTATTAGGATTTGATTAGCATCTGGTCTAGGATTTGGGTGAGATTAAAGATTTTATTTATTAGGGTTCGATTAGAATTTAGTCTAAGATTTGGTCTAAAGTTTGGTTAGGATTAAGGATTTGGTTAGGATTTGGTTAAAGTTTGATTAGGATTTTGTATAGGGTTTGGTGTAGGATTTTGGTTAGAGTTTAGGATTGGTTTACGACTTCATTAGGATTTGGTTTAGGATTTGGTTTAGGATTTGGTTAGGATTTAATTAGGATTTGTCTAGGATTTTATTTGAATTTGATTAGAATTGGTTTAAGGTTTTGGTAGGATTTGTTGAAGGTTACATTAGGATTTGGTTAGAATTTATTTAGGATTTTTATTTTAAACATTTCTTTAATATTTCTTTGATATTTTTTAAGGATTTTTTTTATTATATATATTTCTTTAAGATTGATTTATGATTTCTTTATATTTCTTTTGGAAGTTCTTTGAGACTCTTTGAGAGTTTAATTAAAAATTAGCGTTATTATAATTTAATTGGAATTTGGTCAGGATTCTATTAGAGTTGTTAGAATCTTTTTATTGTAAGTTCTAATGTATCTTTTAGAGCTAGGTTCCCAATGCATTCTCAAACAAACTTCACAAAATATGACACTGATCTACATTCCATCCCTCCTTCATCTTCCATTTGCAAAAGTAAAAAACCTAAACTTCCTTGATCTTCTCATGTTTAACTAGAAACAATGATAAGTCTTACAAGACACAAAGAAGAAAAACATCTAGACTTCAATTCCATGCATAATTGTGAGCTCAAAGAATCACAAGATTAACAAGATGAAACCTTTGCCACATATAATCTAGGAGGCCTAATACTAGTGATATTAATCAAATGTAGCTATTGCTCGAGGGCCTAATAGAAGAGTATATTATAGAAGGAGAGAGTCATGCAAAATTAGATACTATAAGAACATTGACAATATGCAAATCAAACCATTCAATTGTCTTGAAAAAAATGCAACTCCAAAGGTTTGGAAATATTGGAGATTTGCTCAAGCTCTACAATATGCATGCTTTGAAGTTGTTACACTTTGTGCATGGCATGTTAGGTTGAGTGTATTGCAAGAAGGGAGGAAAGAAATATGAAGCGGGGCCCATCCCAAGCTAAGAATAAGAACATGGGAATTGAGAACAAGAATATTAGGGTTGAAAATGAAGGACAAGGGATACAGATGGAATCAATCATGAGATGGCAAGGAGGATTGTGGCTTTAGCAACTTTCTAAATTTAATATGTTCTTTAAAAATCATAATATAAATTGATAACACATCATTTAAAAAGCTTCTAGTACACAAAAATGAAAATAAAAAAACCTTCATACTTGGTGATAAAACTAAGTATATATCATGACAAATCATCCAATAGGCACTTACCTACGACATTCATCCAATGGTCACCCATCATTCATCCAATGGTCACCCATCATTCATCAAATGGTCACCCATCATTCATCCAATGGTCACCCATCATTCATCCAATGGTCACCCACCATTCATCCAATGGTCACCCATCATCCAACAGTCGTTCATCCCTCATCCAACAGTCGTTCATCCCTCATCCAACAGTTAAGCTACTTTCATTTTAAATTGACCAATAATTCATCCACCTCATTATTCATCTAAATGTTACTGATCATTCATTCAAAGCCACCATTATCCATCAAATACCACCTCACCATTCATCCAACCTAACACTGCTTCCACTGTGAAGACGCAGATGAGATGGGTTCGGAAGGATTGTGCCGATTGTTGGGAGATCGGCATTCCGAGCACGATTGGATTTAATCCACCGACTTATTGCACTGCGTGCTGGTCTTCAACGTCATCTTCGAGCGCCTTACACAAGGATTCCACCCTCTCATGATGTTTTCCCCGCTGAACCCACTTCGGTAGCAAAATCATTCAACGTGCGAGAGATCATCATCAAAACCACGTCGACAGTGATTGACTTCACACATGGAAGGATCGAGTGTGTTGAAGGATCGGGGTCCATGGTCGACGTTGAAAACCTCTACTATATCGATCAATGATTTGCTGTCTGGCCACTTTGTTCAGCATTTCAGGATAGGTTGATGCTGGTGACAACCGCGGAGCTTTCTAGGTACATACCTCGATGATATCTGCTGCGTCACAGGAGCGTGGCGCGAAAGGAAGCCATAGGAATTTGTTCGCGTTGGAATCATTGTTTTGATGCTCGTAAGTTTAGGCGTTCCATTCGAACAGATGAGCCTGCATGACAATCGATGCGTGAAGCGGTCCTCCTTCGGGAATTTGCATGCGGAGTCATGTGGGTCCTCCCACACACTCAGTCAACTTTTGTTCACTACACCTGGATCGTTTCGATCAGCGCTTGCAACCCAGGTGCAGCTTGTCGACTGGTTTGATCTACCAGTGGACCCAAGGTTCCGCTAGTTCGTCAAACGCATGCATCATGATCCTTTGAACATCCCATTTGGCTTCTGATCTATCCCGGCTGGTCCCAAGAAATTCACTCGGGCTGGGTGGTGATGCGGACATCCGCGACCTTTCTGCAACTTCCGGAAACGTGTCCGATGACGTAAGTTTTCCTCGCAAACTCGTCTCAACAGTATTGTGATTCCATCAAGCTTCTCGAACGTCTTTACTGTACGCACCTTCCGAGCTTGGCAGTTCTCGAGCGCAGGGACTTCCAGAGACCTTCCACAAAATTTAGATTGACGAATAGTGAAAGCGAGAATATAAACTTGCGCTGGGTCGTAGATTAAATACTGTTTATTTACGCATGCCTATCCAGATCGTACTCATGAGTGCCGGATATGGCAGGTGCTCCTGGGCATTATGTTAAATACAGAGGTCTTAGAGGTGAGCAAATTGTCCCAGAGTTTCAATCAGCTGTCATGCGCTATCTGCGCTGTGTACACGGATTGCATACGAGTCTACTTGAACTAGGAAGGACAGCCAAGTTTGAGAAGTTTGCATTTGATTCCTCTGTACGATCCGGACCACCAAAAGTACATCGAAGTCTGCGAGTACGGGGCTCGTCACGGAGAAGCCAATCTCGACTATCGTGTGAGTGGGAGACAGGATGCTGATAGTTTACAGCAAACATCGATTACCGAAGACTCTCTTGGGATTGGTTGTTCTCGTTATTTTGTGCACTTCCTCACGATGCGAGACTTCGGGGAGGAAAACGGCGCCTCAACCCCGTCATTCTCGTTTTGGTAACTCCCCTCTCCATCATGGAGACTCGGATCACAGCGCTGTGCTGAACGTTGTCAGAAAATTCTCAGTTGATCATCCTTTGGGGGACCAGGATCTCTTCAGCACCATCAACCGACGAAGACTTGCGTCCTGCTCGAATCTCTACCCGTACGCAGCTATTGCAGTAGACACGACAGGACAATTGGCGGATGTGCAGAACGTCACTGTGACCGTGAGCGGAGTCACGAAACCATCGGACCAAGATTGGGTTGGTGTTTTTTCGCCGACCGATGCCAAGTTCTCTCTCTGTCCATCTTGAACAACTGAATTTGTTGTTTGAATTGAACGCTGGAACCATTTGGCAAAATCTTCTTGTGCGTGTGATAATCTTCTGAATTGCGCTAGTAATTCACCTCATACAATATCGGACTGAAGCGTTTGAAACCGGAATTGTGAAACTCAGTACAGATGCGTGTCCGACCGAATCCGCGGCGATGTATTTGCAGACAGGGGATACGTCCAGTCTACCCTTAACTTGCCACTATCCTGTCAAGGTACCTGCGTCAATAACGAAGATCCAATCTGTTTGTGAACAACTTGCTGCAACTAAATCTAATCTTGGAAATTGGAGTAATTTTTTTAAAGCTCCAATGAAGCTTCGAAATGGGCCATGGCTACAGTGAAGTCGGTGGCCAGCTTTTTCATGACTTGAATACTATTAAGGGTTCTTTTTCACTTCTGTGAAGAAATTGCAAATAGAGGGTTTTTATTTTTTCCTAATTATCTGGGTTTGATTTCGAGGAGATCTACAGTACAAGTTTTTGAATACCGATCCCGAGTATATTTCATGTGGCAAGCCGACTTGCGAGGTTAGCGCAGGTAGTCGGTGCTTTGTTCAAACCTGCAGCGGGTCAGTGTCGTTCCGGTTGATCAACATTAGGACAGACGTATTCTTCGTCTTCTTCACAGGGGGTTTGGCTTTGCCTTGTGTGATCAACGCATCCTCCGCGCTGTCGTTCGCAAACCCCAAGTCCCCACTCTATGGCCATCTCTCGTCAGTCGACTCAACTGGAACACAGGTGGGCTTATTTTTTTAAAGCACCGATCGAACTCTGTGAACAATGTGATTCCAGAGTGTAATTTATCTATACAAAAAACATAAGACGCAGGGTATTTGGATCCGATTTGTGCAATCTTTAGTTATTCTCTTCGGCGTTCTGACACAAATTTTCTCCGTAACTTGTTGGTGTCTCTTCGCAGATGCGAGTGACATGGGTCAGCGGTGACAGTTCTCCACAACAAGTGAAGTACAATGGCTTGACGGCAACATCCAATGTTTCCACGTTCACAGCGGCCTCAATGAGCTGTAAGTTATCCATCTTTTGTAGGATTCATCTGATGCACAGCCCTGTGATTGCCTTGCAGTCTACACGTTGCAGAGATCCAGATATCGTCTTTATTTCGATTTTTCTTATCTCTAGATCTAGTGCCGCGGACCCAAATAGGAATCAATCACAATGCGATATGGAGGCGCCGTTTGACACGCTGAATTGGTTTTTATCACAGCTCATGCAGCGAACCCTGCCAGCGATTTCGGCTGGCATGACCCGGGTTTCATCCACTCCGCGGTGATGATAGGTCTCACCCCATCCACCTCGTACATTTATTCCTTCGGCAGGTAAATTGTTCGACCATCAATAACCAAGTTCATCACAAAATCGATCACACAACCATGAAAATAGCCATGTGATAGATGCTCACGTCAACCTCAGGTGGTGGTGGTGGTGGTGATGTAAGGTTTAGACCACTCACAAATCATTTCTGCGATGTTCACAGCGACGATGTTGGATGGAGTAAGATTACAAATTTCACGACACCGCCGGCTGTTGGAGCGAATTCCGTGCGTGTAGTGATGTATGGCGACATGGGCAAGGCTGAGCGTGAAAATGCGAGCATCCATTATTCAGCGGTACCGACCCAAGAATATTTCCTTCATTTCGAGAATATTCTTTGGTATTGCTTTGTAAAATGAGCTTGACAAGGGTGGTTGTTGTTTGCAGCCAGGATCGATTGGCGTTGTTGATGCATTGACTAGAAGGAATGATGTCGACGTGGTGCTCCATATCGGCGATATCAGCTACGCTACTGGATTTCTGGTGGAATGGGATTCGTTTTTAGAGTTGCTAACCCCTGTGGCTTCCAAGGTTTCCTACATGACCGCCATCGGCAATCACGAGAGGTAGAAATGACCCTACGCAGCATAATTTGCATATGAATTTGAATGATTTTACGTGTACCGTCCATCTTGCTGGATTAGCAACAAACTCTAGATTCTCAAAAGTCACAACCACAACTGCAGAGGATTCAGTCATGGCTTTGGGACTTTGATCACTTGTTTGCTTTTGTTGGACACAGTTTGTCATCTTGAATTGCAGGTTTTAAGGGGCTTGTCTGTTCTGTTCTAATTCATGTCACCATTCACTTCTATGCTTGTTAGGGATTTTCCCGGCTCTGGGTCTGTATACACCTTAACGGATTCAGGAGGTGAAATCGGAGTCCCATATGAGACCTATTTTCCGATGCCTGCAGCTGCGGCAGACAAGCCTTGGTATTCGTATTCTTCGGGGCCAATACATTTCACCGTTATGTCCACAGAACACAACTGGACTCGAGGCAGTGAACAGGTACTCACTCCTGCCAATCAAGTCACAATCACAATGCTGGCTCTAATTTGACCCCATCTCTATATTTGAGATGCATGTTATGAATTTGTAAGCACCAACCTCGTTCAGTGTGTTCAAGAACTTCTCAACAAATTTTCCTTTTTCTGCACGACAGTACTCTTGGCTTCAAGAGGATCTTGCATCAGTTAATCGGACCATAACGCCATGGATCGTCTTTACAGGGTAAGTGTTTGTAACAACGTTGCTTCAGGCTATGTCGCTGCAACACATTTTTCAAGGTCACTCTTCTGCATAGAGATATGTAACTCATGCTGCTGTTCTGATATTTCTTGTCAACTTCCTTTCTGAATCTCTTAGACTAAATATCACTGATGATGTGAATGTGCACATGAATGAAGACACCGTCCAATGTATTCATCCTACACCAGCAGTCTGGATTTTCTTCTGGCTCCTGTGGATACAAACTTCGCTCCTGAGCTTGAGCCTCTACTACTAAGTGCTAAAGTAAGTTGCATCTTCATAAATAGTTATCCAGCACATATTGCGAACATTATGACCCTTGGTTCTCCACACCTTTTCCATTTGAGCAAAAATCAAACTGCGTTTAATGATAGAGGGCACAACTAAAGAGCTCATTGTTTGGTTCTATTTATGAACTTAGTTATGGTTTTTGGGTAATCTATTTGAATCGCCTCTGATAATGAAGAGCCTTGCCATCTCTCAGGTAGACATCGCAGTGTGGGGACACGTCCACAACTATGAACGCTCATGCGCCGTCTTCAATGGCACATGCTTGGGGATGCCGACCAACGATAGTGCTGGAATTGCTACGTACAATAATGCAGATTACAAAGCACCTGTTCAAATAGTCGTAGGTACCGCAGGCTTTGAGTCCAACGATTTTGGTACAGCCACTGTAAGTAACGGCCTTCTTCAGATTACTCAATCGTCCTACGTTCAACTTATTTCAAGCTCCTCAACTAAGTTGCAATATCTTGTTGCTGATAAGTGTTTGATTGATATTTACCAGCCTCCCGCGTGGAGCTTAGCACGCATCAAGGATTACGGTTACATCTACATTCAGGCGGATAGGACTCGTCTCACTGTACAGGTTTTGATACGAAACCTCGTCTATACATGACAAGTTAATGTAAAATCACTGCAATATGTTCGGCAGGCCAGCATTGATTGATTAACATATCAGCTATGCATTGTGTGGCAGTTTGTGTCTTCAACAAGTGGAACTGTCGGTGATCAATGTAGCTTCACCCGGTGAAGCAATTTACCTGAATCACAGCCTTAACTCTATTTCGGTGAAGTGATTCTTTATGTGCATCACGAGCAAATAGATATGGCAGCAGAAGTATTCTTAGCTGCGGTTGTCGCAGTCACCTCAAAAGCTATTGTGGCAATTCAGATACTCTACCAACTGGGGGTTTTTCTACGAGAATTGTATCGATCCCCCTCCACATCAGGTTCCTAGTTTCGAACCATGAGCAACAATATACTGATGGTTTCCAATGTACTTAACTAGTTTATTTTTCGGAAGATCAGACCCTGAAAATACAAAAGCAGTGTGAAGTCATCATCTCTCATTCTTAGTTTGACCCATTTGTAATTATGAACCACGTCTCAAGAGTTTTGTTAGATATTACGCATTGGTTGTGCAGGTTTGTTTTGTGTTTGCCATTCTTGTTACTGGTAGACAAAGTTCGTTTTGAAGTGCACCTGTTGGCAAGGATTTGCTTCATCTGCAAGCATTATTTCAAAATTGTTTCTAAATATTCTTAATTATTAAACAAGCATTGTGTCAAAAGTGTTTATATACATGCTACATTATTAGTCGTTATAATACTGAAATATGTGGTTGATTGATAATTTGTAATTGTATATGTTGGTATGTAGTTCTTTCATACTCATGGCAATTGGAGATTGTTGCAGAGCCCAATATATCAAATTTACTTACATTGATTGAACATCATTGCTATGTTTATTGTTCATGTAGTTGCATCAACAATATCCTTTCTGTTGCATCTTGTGCTTGTGTTATGAGATATTGAAAGTAGAATTTGTTATAATTGGTTATGTTTTTAGAATCTTTAATAATCGATGATGAATTCATATGCATTTGGATGAAGAATAATTTTATTACATAAACTTAATTTCTTAGATTTAAGATATTGTAATTAGTATTTCATAGATAAATAAACTAAATTCTAATATATGTCTTATTTTTTGAGCTGTAAATATATTAAAATTCAATATACTTTACAAGGAGGTAATTTTTGTTAAAGAAAAATAAAACAAAAACTTAATTTTTTTTATTGATAATCAATACAAAGTACAAAATGATAGTATAAAAATATAAATTTCTTAATGGTATTCAAAATTAATAATAGAATATTATTAAGTGCAAAATATTTATTATAAAATTCATGTAAGAAATCATCAATAAAAAGAAACTACTAAAAAAGAATTTTAGATTCTTTTTTTAAAAGAAATCTGTTCATAAATATAAGAAGCATTTACTTCTATGCATTAAATTAGAAAGAAGTTTTTCCTATATATAAGTATTTATATATATACATATATTTATATTTTAACTTGTTGAATCAATGGCAGGAGCAAACTTTGTTTCGTATTTTGTTTTGCTAAATTTCATTCTAGATTTATCTAACTACAATAATTAAGAAATTTAAGTATATATATATATATATATATATATATATCCAAATTCAAGGAGTCTAAATGGTACCAACACACCTAGTTTTTTAATTTTTTACATTTTTATATTTTTATATATAGTATTTTAATAATTTAAGTATGTATTCTTATTTGACATGTTTAAATTATAATATTAATTTAAAAGAAAAGAAATTTCAAAAAAATTACACTTATAAGAATACACAATACATTGTTAATAATATATAATAGAAAAAATAATATCAAATATTCCTCCAAAAAGTAATTTTTACACTTATTTATACATTAAATTTAAGATCATAGTAGTTTTTAGATTATAGTGCTTTATTTACTAGTATACTTAGAAGAAAAAGAAAAAGAAATTCATAAAATTTAAACAAAAAGAAAAAAATTCTTCCAAAAGATCGTAGTTCTATGGTTTTTAGATAAAGTATATAAAATAGACCTGTGTTATTTTCCTATGTGACATGATAAGCTTTTACCATATTTTTTCAAATTTAATTTATTTTTAAAAACCTGAAATTTTTAATAAGAATTAATTTTATTTTAACTACAAACAACATTAAATCACTTGAATCATTGGTTTAATTTAATTAGTCTGATACTTTACTATGATTTTTTTATCAATATTTAATTAATATGCTTAAATTTTTTTTTAAAGTTTTAATCTTTTTATTACCAAATTTATTATTTCATTTTTTCTTAGGCTACAATTTTTATTCATTTATCATATTAGAATATTTGTTGTGAATGATCTAAGATTTATAATTTATAATTTATTATATTTATTAAAAGAGATTATTTTTTAAATAATATTAATATATTAATATATAAGTGTGTGTGTGTGTGTGTGTGTGTGATACATTAGAATGTAACAAAATAACTAAATAGTTGTGCAAAAACACATGGAAAATTCCAAACACAAGTAAACCAAGAGGCAAGAAAAACTTTGTAACATCAATAATAAATTTAGATTTGTATTTGAATATTATATTTGAAAGGTTCTTAAATGGAGATTAATTTCTAAACCTCATTAGAATTTCAATTTAGCTTGATTTTTTAAATTTAGCAATTTAGCTTATATTTTGTGTACATAAATGAATAAGATTGAAGTTTTAAAATATGCAAAAAAAATAATAATAAAATGTAACTCACAATGTCAACATCAATCCATATACTTTCTTTATGCTTTGATATGCATGCATATATATATATATATATATATATATACATATATATTCTATGTAGCTTCACAAAACCCTTTTTGTCTATTTATCTACAACCTTTTCTTTAATTCTCTATATGTATTTTATTATTTGATTTTTTTTTTTTATTACTTTTAAGTTTAGTATCACAAGTGAAAATGGAATAGATAAATTTTACAAAAGAATTTTGTTCCAAGATGTTATTCTTAACAAATGATACACATGAAGACTATCTTCTATGCATCAAGTATATTTGAGACGCACACAATTTTAGAAGCAACAACCAAATAAAACAAGATGCAAGTCCCAATCTAACTAGAAGTCGACAACCACATGAATACCATTGTCTAGAGGTATGCAAAGGCACAATGTTAGAAAATATGATGTATATATTGATATAGGATAGAAGTATAATGATGTGAAATACATTTGAACTCACTATTCAACCATCGATAATTCAAGAGAACTAACCTCTTGAAATGAACCTTGAATTTTGGTTCTTAAAGCACAAGTCCATGGTCTATTGACATGGACTTTCTAGTGGAAACAAACTAACAACTAGCTGCCAAGGTCCAATTAACAAGTGGACACTCATCTTATTAGGCCATATAATAGCTTGGTAGGTGACAATAACTATATGTTAACTATTGGCTAATATGGCAATCTACAAGTTGTCAATTAGTAACATGGTTTCAATTGTCTACATAGGTAATCACATAATTCTACATAGGTATTCACATAATGTCTAATAGAAATTAGACATGTATGTTAACACTTTTAACACACAAGCCCCTTGCCCCACTTCCTTAATATTCAATATTCAATGACTGAGATAGTACTCTTAAATGGAGGAAAACTGTCTGCTTATAAAATACCACCTAAGACGTACATGTAAGGTCATGATCCACAGTCTCAAAGACAGCAAGAACGGACGCTCTCGGTTGGCAAATAACCTCAGAAATAACCTTCACTACACCTCCATTATTTTCCGTTTCAAAATTGGGTGGACCCTCATATCATGCTTCATCTAGAGGAAAAGGTGACGAGAATTAATTGCAATCGTTTATAATCGTTCAGAGCACCATCAGCGATGGTCAGCACCAACCGCCTCACGTATCGATTTGAATCCATCACGCTCCAAGCAGGATGCTAACTCCGACTGCGGTCCCCAAAACACGTTACTTAAATAAAAAGAAAATAAATTACAATAGTACGGAGCATCGGGTAAAGTTCTGAGAAACTGATTTGACTGTTTACATCCTTTACAGGCCTAAAGAAAGGGAAAGGCAACAGGTTTGTAAGCAGTTAGAAGCTAACAATGTACCTTAATTCGAGGTAAAATTGCTGGCCCTTCGTAAGCGAAGGCAGTGTAAAGCTCCACCAAGCTGGCACCAGCTCGAATCTTCTTATAAGCATCTTCACCGCTGCAAAATTGCAACACTGAGAACATGAGTTTCACATTAGTGGAACTGGCATTGCGTCACTGAAACACTGAAGAACATTCCAGAGATCGATTCGAAAGAAAATTAGAACTAAAGGTAATGCAACAAGATAGTAAAAATTTCATGTTATTTCAATCTCATACGATTTTGTGTTCTTACAACGAAGGTCATTTACTACCGAGCAAAAATATCTTCAACTAAAGATCACAAAATATGGCAACAAAATTTACCTGCTAATGCCGCCACAACCCACAAGTGGAATTTTTCCCTACTCACATAACAAAAATATATGATATTTAAAAAAAGAACTGCAAATAAAATATGAACAATACCCACTACTTTGTGCAGGTTGACAAATTATCCTCAAGCTTAACAGCTTTAAAAATGAATGAATGAATTAAAAGAAAAAAAAAAGAAAAAAAAAAAAAGCTCTTTAAGAATACTAATTGTACATGAAGTACGCCAAATATGGATCAAGAAAGTTACCTTCGTAAGTACATATATGTCGCGAAGGATCTCATTGGAGATATTGAACAGAGGTTTTCCACTAAGACCCCCAGTTTCTGTTGAATGCACTAAGCCAAGAATAGAGTCTGGTCTTGACACTGTAGTGTTGGTTACTACCTGCAGACCAACTTGTCAAGCTTACTAAAAGAAGACAATACACTCTGATACTGGATCATGCAAGAGAAAACCTTGTACACCCTACTGGACGAATAATCAACATGCTTTCAAGTAAATTTGCATAACAACGAGCTTTGAATCAAATAAAGTGCTTGGGCAGGTCCCATGCTTCATTTGAATAATGCACGTTGAGAAGTCTCCACATGTTCAAAAGTCGGAGGAAGATGGTTTCAAAAGATAGAATCTTACCAAGCCATCAATCCTCAGAGAAAGTGCAACCTGAGTATAGCAGGCATCAACAAAAAGCAGATAATGATCAGATATGTAAAATCGCAAGATCTTTTGAAAACATGTGGTTGAGAAACTAAAAAGAGTCATAAACAAGAATCCGGGTCCTAATGCAAGTAGATGAGGCAGCAGCCAGTAACAAACGGTAGAAATTATCTTTACCGCTGCAATGTCCGCCAAGTCCTGCTTTGATAAATCGGGTGAGATTTTCACCAGTAATGGAGGTGGCCCAGCCTCTCCCCACTGCATTTCATCTCGAGCAGCTAGAACCTACAAAAGCACCTCTGAACAGGATTAATCGTTCTGTCAAGTAGAAGCTGCTGAGATATAGTCAGCAGATGTTCGAATGTAAGAAATTCACATATGCATACCTTTTTAATGAGGTCCTGAAGCTGTTTACGGCCTTGCAGTTTGCGAAGTCCTGGGGTATTGGGAGAGGACACATTAATGACCTGCAAGCAATCTCCACAGGATATGCACAATCAGTATCTTAAATTTGTGATGACCTGAACTCTTTCTTCTTAAAATATTCATCTTGTCATACACAATAAAACTATTATAATAGAATGCAGCTTCTCAGAGGTTTGTTAAGGTGAAAATCCAACATGACAGGCTTGTGATTCAGCATAATCTTACCAAATAATCAGCATATTGTGACAAGGTATGAACCCCTTGTACATAATCAGCTGCAGCATCTTCACTGGTCTTATTCTTTCCCAGATTTACTCCTACTATCCCAGTACCAGTAATTCTTGTTGCAAATGGACTAGCTGAACCAAATAGTTCCCCGGTGGTCTCTGCAAGTCTTCTCTTTCCATGTTGAGCTCCAAGCCTCCTCGCAACGGCAACAATCCCTTCACTACTAAATCCATATCGATTGATAATTGCACTGCACACATACGTCAAATTCAAACATTAACGGTTGATCCTTTAAATTGCAAAGATTCTCTTAAAATAGAGTAGAAAAATGTCCATGCATCACCTCATTTTGCCCAAAAGCTTTGCGCAATGCAAACACCAAAACCTGGCTGAGAAGACTAAGTGGGAAAATGATGTAAACGCAAATATGCTACTCAGAATCTTTGCAAAAGCCACAACCAGTCTTGTTCTCAACAGGGGACATACTAAACCATTTAGTATGAGAAAGAGAGCAGAGACATACATGCTTACCCCTGTTCCTGGATTCGAAATACACGAGGTCTGGGGTTACCCTCCTGAGGGACTGGAGTCACTGATCCCACTTCAACAAATCCGAAGCCTAGCCCTAATAACCCCTCAACTGCCTCAGCGTTTTTATCAAAGCCTGCTGCAAGACCAACGGGATTTGAAAAAGTGCGACCCCACAAGGTAACTTCCAAGATGAAAGGATCGGGTCGCGTTTCCTTAGGGACTAACCCATGAGCTGCGGCCCAGATCGCTAACCTATGAGCATCCTCCGGCTCGAAAAACTTGAATAACGGATTCAGCAAACTGGCTCCCTGAAATGCCCAATTGCTGCGCAAAGTAAGAGTCTGTACATCATCAGTTAAGGTACATGTCTATTATGACAATTCTATGACTATCCATCAACAATTCTGTCATAAGACTTCCAAAACTTTACTTATCAGCGACAAGAACAAATTCGTATATTTACAACAGAGAGTATTGAATTTATAAAGCCATGGGTCAATAAAATCAAACCTGATTGTGGCCTCATCAGAGGTCCCAACATACGCTCCACCACCAATAACAGACCCGAGGACTGCTCCTGTCAACAACCGTCGCTGCAAAATAGATCCACGTGCACATTCAAAAAAGGTTTGGCCGCATGACTATTAAACTTGTTTGATTCCAGTAATTGACCGATAGCCCTAACTTGTGAACATTGGGCCCCAATTTAACAGCCGGCATTGTTAAATATGGATAAAATGTTCTCGTCGAGGTGTATACTTTTGGGTCTAAATGAAAATTATAGAATTTGCATTTAGTTCAAGCTGCACTTTCACAACACGACTTACACAGACAAAAAACTGTCGCAGTCATTATTGTAGTAGCCATCTCACGGGCAGCATAGCCTATTATCTCTCATAAGATACTGTCGAAGTTGAGTTTCACCTAATCCAAATTGCCACAACATGTAGACCCACTAAACAACCGCGCCGTTCTCAGACCACAAAAGTCTAAAGTAAGAAATACTTATATATCTGCAAAGATGAATGAAGCTCCTTGCACAAATTTGAAAAATTGAACTGATTAGCAAAAGTTACGTGAAAATCAGACGATTAAGACCAAGTTCGCCTACATGAACAGAAATTGGAGATAAACTGGAGAAACGAGAAAACAAACAAAAAAGAAAAAAGAAAAAAGAAAAAAAGACGAGATGAAGGCAAAATAGCTCCACTATGTAGCCAAATAATTTACTGATAAACAATTGAGGCTTAAATAAGACCTAAACCCAGATTCCCAGTAGTCGCCAATATCGTTAAAAATTCCCATCCAAACATCAATGACATGCGCAACCGCATCATCGTAATCGTACCTCTACAAAACTTCGTATTCTCTACAGCAACCCAATATTTTTTTTTTTTCTCACCACCAGCGTCGCATTAAATCCACTAGAGGAATCGCAACCACAACGTAACAAAAAACCAACATGAAAAAAACATCCTCCTCATCACAAATGCCACCAAATCTTTACTCCAACACAAACAAGTCTAAGAAAAAGCAGAGTACCCAAGTGAGTCGGGATTTCGGCGGCAGAACGCGATCGACAGATGCAGTTGGGGTGTGAATGGCGGACGAAGTGCTGTAATTCGCAGCGCGAGCTACAGAGTGCCACAACTGGCGACCTTTGCGCCATGACTGTAACAAGAAACCAACTCCTTCTCTCCCCATCGCTTCGTGGACTTCAAGCGCTGTGTTCCTCTCGGTCACACTCTACCCTCAGAGGCAGAGTTTTTCATCTGAAAAAAAATTGATCGACTATGGGATTCTCCAATCAACGCATCCACACTGGATCGAGGCAGCGGACTTGCAAGTGATGCTGCTGCTGATTCAAGCAGTGTCGGTGTCCGGGCTCGCGAGGCCCCCGGATCCAGCAACAACTCGACTGCTTCCTCACGCCGAAAGAAGACGGGGCCTCATAGAGCACACCCTACTTCATGCACATATCCGTTATATAACTGGTATCAGGCGGGTATAAATCTCACACTACAATACCCTGGTAAATCCCTACACGTATATTGAATGGGTATGGGAAATGATACCTTGGTCTTGTTCTTGGTATTGGTTGGTGCAGTTTGGTCTGGTTTAGTTTGGTTTAGGGTTACCATCAAATCAAACTAGGTATTAGATATGTCCAAATTGAAATGAAACTGAGTATAAATGAATCAAAATATGACCAATATATGGAATTCTAAACCAACTAAATTAGTTTTTTTTTACTACATAAATTGATGAGGATAGTTTAGGTTATTGTTTGATAATTGTTTTTTTGTTTTTGTTTTTTGTTTTTTTTTTTTTTTAAATCTAGCAATAATTAATCTTTATTACATATAAGCAAAGCAATGACATAATTTTGTACAATCCAATTACAAAGCTTATTGACTTGTATCTCTACAACTTGTATAAGATATTTTGTGTGTGTATATTTATTGGAGTTTAAATTGTAAATTGCTAAAAAGTTGAATTGAAAATGACAAATGACTTTTTTTTGGAACATTAAAGTATTAAGTTTGTTACAATCTTAAATAGTATATCTTCTAAAAAAACAACTCCATAGTTAAAAACATTTTCACTTAAAGAAATAGAAGGGCCTATTTTTGCATGATAACATTCAATGAATAAATCTATTTTAGACTTGGTAATAAGAATCTCCCACTTTGTACCAAAAAATTGAACACTACAATTTTTTATTTAAGTAATAAAGGCCATGTAATATGGTAAAAATGTAGATATTTCAAAAACATGAATTAAAAGATGATGCATAAATCAATAAAATCCATGTCAAAGAAAAAGTAAAAAAATAAAAATAAGGAAGTACATATATTAAAAAGAAACTAGAATGGCTTATTGCCAAAAGACAAGGAAACTTGAGACTCTTGAAACTAGACTAGAAGCAAGAAAGGAATTGATAAGAGTGAAGAGGGCTTTATTCTTGTCTCTATATATACTATCTAACTAGGGGCTACATAGCTATGTTCTATAGGACCTCCAATATATGTTGACTTTGTAGGACACATGCCTTGACTCATAACGCAAGTTTTTCTTCATATGGGCCACATAGTTAGCTTGGTCTTCAAGCTAACTACATGTGTGGCACATAACCAATTTGTTGACTACTTTTTTAATCCAAATAGTCAATTATAGACACCTATAAAGTCAAAGCAATGTCTATGAAGCTTTTAAAAAGCTTCTATAGAAGATATTGTAGAATTAACTTACTTTTATCTATTTTTAATTACTTCTACCTATTTATATAAGTAATTATTAGCTTACATGTGTATGTCCGTGACATTATCTCCTCCTTCTAGGGACGAGTTCCACAAAGAGTGGTCAGCATATGTTGAAGAAATATATGATGCGATGAATTGTATTTACTACATGCTCAGATCCTTGTTCTCTTTGAAGATGGTTGATAAGGCCTCTCAACCATCGATAGTGTCCTAGACCAGGGCAAGAAGACCATCGTATTATTTGATCGTTGTTGAGGCCTTCATAACTTCCTTCAAATAAAATATTTGGAACACTGTCAGGAGTTGTTCCTACCTCTAATAAAATTACCAAACATCAAGAGTATCTTCCAAGGTCGTGATATCAAATGCATTGTATCTCGCTATTTATTTGAAGAAAAACATGTCATTCTTAAGGATCTTCATCTCGATTGCATTGTCTTGAAGGTTGTGACAATTACAATGTCTCATGTGACATATTAGCAAACAAAGGCTCTTCAGTCAAATTTGCTGGTTGTTGGTTCTTCATATCCTTAGCGTCTCAACTACAAAGAAGTTTCAAATAAGGATTGAAAGTTTAATGTTATCTTGCCTAGATCTTGTTTCTTTTATAGGAAAAGTTTTCATCTTGATTTTGATAGATGTTGTCGATGAAAAGCCTCCATCACCTTTGATGCATTTATAAGATTCTTTATTGGCTCCCATGTGCGTTCACTAATATCATATTTGTACTAATGCAGAAGATATTCTAATTTATTTTGGCACCACCTTCAATCTAAAACTTCTTTCACTTCAAACTCCTCATTATTGTCCATTTTTATAGGAGGAGGTAGAGCTTGCCTTCTTCTTGGTGTGTCCACTATCTTGTATGGATGAAGAAGAGATACATGGAATACTAGATGGATTAGACAACTCTTTTTTATTGACTCCAATAGATGTAAACAATATACAACTGGATTGATTTGTACAGAAATAGAAAATGGTCCAAGCCTATGATAGTCCAACTTGTCACAAGAACGAGTAGTCTTGATATTGCGACAAAGTAATCATACCTTATCACCCATGTGGAATGGTGGTTGTTCCTCTCGATAGACATCCGCATTGATCTTTTGTTGTTCTTGAGCTTCTTTTAATTGCACCTTCATTGTTGCATGTAGCTCTGAAAAATGATTTGCTAAATCTTCCATTATAGGATTATCAGCTTTTGAAAAGTCAAAAATATCAAGTTGTAGATGATAACCATAATTGGTAAAGAAAGGTGTTTGTTTTGTAGAAGAATGTATCATGTTATTATAAGCAAACTCTATTAATGACAAAAGAGTTGTCTAATCATCTTGTTGGTAGTTGATGATACATCTTAAATATTATTCCAAGACTTGATTAACATGCTCCATTTGTCCATTTGTTTGAGGATAGAATACCAAAGATAGTTTTATATCCACTTTTAGAAACTTGGAAAGAATCCGCCAAAATCTTCATACAAACTGAGTTCTCCTATTTGATATAATATCCTTGGATAATCCATGATAGTGATGGATGTTGTCAAGAAAGAGTTTAGTTGTTTCTTCACTTGTGATAGATTTTGCACATAGTACAAAATGTGCCATCTTAGTAAAACAATCTACTATAACGAATATAAAGTCATAAGAACCTAAGATTGGAAGATCCGTGATAAAATCCATAGAAACAGAAGACCATGGTTGTTTTGGAATAGATAAAGGTTGAAGAAGTCTGTAACGTTGATGATGAGGAGTTTTTGATCTTAAACAAACGTTGCATGACTGAACAAAGTCTTTTACATCCTTCTATATTTAAGGCCACCTAAAATCATTGGATATAAGCTCCAAAGTCTTGTTGTATCCAAAATGTCCTACTATTGGAAAGTTGTGATGTGCTTGAAGAACACGTAATCATGCTTGTCTTTTTGGAATATATAATCGACCTTCGAATTAGAGTAGATTATTTTTGAATTCAAACTTAGAAGTATCTTGAGACTTAAAAGAAAGATTTTTGATATTATGAACAAGAAGATCAGAAGATATACTTGATTGGATTTGTTTCATAAGTGTCAAATCAACAATCAATGTTGGTTTCATTACTCGAAGATGAAAATACTTTGGCTTCAAGAGAATTATTCTTTGTTGATTAAAAGATGCATCTCCTTCTTTTGGTACAAGATAAGAATGTCTAGAAAGGGCATCTGACAAACCTTATAGTTTTTTGGATCAATATGTAATCTTGAAATCAAATCTTGATAAAGACAGGCTCCAACGGGCTTGGCGATGATTTAAAATACGTATTGACATGAAATACTCAAGATTCTTGTAATCTGTATATACGGTGATTGGATTAGAAGCACCTTGTAGATGATGATACTATTATTGAAATGAATCCATGATTACAAGAAGTTCTTTGTCATGAATTTTATAGTTAATCTCGATTGCTAAAAATTTTCTGGAATGAAAAGCTACTAGATGAAGATTATCATTTGTTTCCATTTGTAATAATACGGCACCCAAAGCAAAGTCTGATGCGTGTGTTTCCATAAAAAAATACCTTAAAAAAGTTGACGCAATACAAGATTGGTGCAGAAATAACGGTTGATTTCAAAGTTTCAAAAGATACTTTAGCTTCTTTGGTCCACTCAAGGTTGTCTTTGCAAGTCAAACATGTAAGTGGAGCTGCAATTCGAAAGAAGTCTTTGATGAAGATCCGATAATAGTTCGCAAAGTTCAAAAAGCATTGAACATCTCTTACCATTTTTGAAATCTTCCAATTCATAATCATTTGAACTTTCTTAGGATCCATCATAAGTCCATCATTTAAAATGATGTATCCTAAAAAGTCGACTTGAGTAGTGTGGAATACACATTTTTCTATCTTGTTATAGAGTCCCGTATCTCTTAATTTTTGTAATACTTGATGAACATGAAATTCATATTCATTTGTGTTCTTAGAATAGATCAAGATGACATTCAGATAATAGAGAACAAAATCATCTAAAAACTTTCATAAAACATCATTCATTAGATGTTGAAAAGCTGTCGATGCATTTGTAAGTCCAAAAGGCATGACATTATATTCAAAATATCCATATTTAGTTCAAAATGTAATCTCCTATTCATCTCCTTCTTTAATACGTACTACATTGTATGCTCTTCATAGATCTATTTTTATATAGATCTTAGTTTGATTCAGTTGATCGAGAAGTCTGGATATCAAAGATAGAGGGTACATATTTTTGATGGTGATCTTCTTGAGTCTTTGATAATCAACACACATCCGCAATGACCCATCTTTCTTCTTTACAAATAAGATTGGAGTTCTTGTTGGTGATTTGGAATGGCGTATGAAATTCTTGGCCAAATTTTCTTCAATATTTTTTCTTGAGTTCAGCCAATTCATTTTGTGATAAACTATAGATTGGTCCAAATAGTGGTTGTGTTCTTTCTTGAAGGTCAATTGAGTAGTCATAAGAACGATGTTTTGGAAGAGAATTCATATTCTTCTTCTCAAATTCATTTTAAAATTCTTGATATTGGCTAGGAATGCTACTTGAAGTCTTTGCATCATTAGAAACAAGTGTGGCATAAATGACACAAGGTGATCCTTCTTTTACAGCATGCAAGAAAGCTCTTGCACTTACAAACATAGGTTTAATTATATTAAACTTATGACTTTCTTTTGGATTAATTTTACTCTTAATTATGCTTTTAGAGAAATCAAGGATACAAGAAATCCAATCTATGCAAGGATTATACTTTCTAACCATGATAAACCTAAAATGATTGGATTAGAGGGAGATCTAATTATATTAAACATTACACAACTACTATGACTATTTATTACTTCATCTATAGAAAGTGTTTTATGAGTAACATCTCCAAAAGACAATGGACAACCATCTATGACTTCTATATGAATAGGTTTGATTTTTTGTACTAACAATATTTTATGACTTTTAATAAATTCTACATCTAAGTAATAAGTTGAGGCTCTTGAATCTGTGAAGGCAGAGGCTTTATAATTATTAGGTCTTAAATGCACATCTATTATAAAATAAGAAGAGATTTTTGAGAAGAAGATAAGACCTTCATTAAAAGTTGTATAAGATTTTAGCCGCACGGTCCCTATTGTAATTGGACAAATTCATTTTTTGACACATTGTCTTCTTTGAAAGATGTGCTCATCATTTTATGATTTTGTTGCTTCTTTGGATAATGTTGAGTAGTGTGTTTAGGTTCTTCACAATATAAGCACAATCCTTCTTGATTGCAATGAGTCTTTTCTTGCTCGGCAAGAAGTTTAAAACATATGGCATCAATTTTTATATCCTCTATTTCTAAATATATGTGTTAAAGAAATGTTGGTGTTGCCATCGAATTATAGTAACATTGAGGCCCATTTATATGACTGTTAGATCAAAATTTAAAAAATCAATTATCGCATTTCATAACAAAGTCAATTGCTTAACTCAATATTTGAGGATCATATAAATTGAGCATCAATTTTTTTACTTTATATTATACTTCATAGAGAAATTGGTTAATAAATGCAACATTATTCTTCTTGATATCAGCTACAAGTTGACAAAACTATGAAGCATATAACATTTCAGATCGATTGCCTTGTCACAAAATATAAATCTTGTTGGTTGCAACACAAGTTGCATCATGTTCCCCATACATGAATCGAAATTCTGCCAAAAATGCCTCTAGATTATCCAATATTGGATCTTGTCATTTAAGGAAAGCAAAAAACCACAATAGTACTAAACTTGAAAGAAGTATACCAATGAATTTCACTTGTGATCCTAGAGTTGGATAGCTTTGAGGTTGAAGTTCAATCACAAGTTGTACTTGATTGATAAATCCTTGAAATTTGGATCTTGTACCATTATACTTCTTGTGCAAAGCAACTCTTGGTTTTCTAATAATTGAGGGATGTTCTACCATGGATAGAGGGACATGATTTGGTACAGATATTGAAGCAGCTCTAATCATCTCTATATCCTGAGTTTCTACCATTCTTGTTGATCCTTGTGGTAGTAATCTAAATTGATGCATCGCAAGCATCAACTCCCTCAATTGCTCTTACATTTGTGCCATTGTACTCTTCATTTCAACAAACTTTGTTATAATAACACTCAGAAAAATATCTAATACCACTTAAGACAAATAGAAGAAAAGACTTGAGGACAAAAAAAATATTAAGAATAATATTAGTTTAGAAGAGGGTAATCCACAACTTCTAATATGCTTATGTCTTATCATGAAAAAGGAGTAATCTACTCTCAATCAAGATAAGACAAAGCTCTGATACTGTATGTGTACTCTTTTCAATCTATCAAGGATATGAACTAAAAGATGATGCATAAATCAATGAAATTTGTGTAAAAAAAAGAATGACAAAATAGAAATAAGAAAATACATATATTAAAAAGAAATTCGAATGGCTTATTGCCAAAAGACAAGGAAACTTGAGACTCTTGAAACTAGACTAGAAGCAAGAAAGGAATTGATAAGAGTGAAGAAGGCTTCACTTTTGTCTCTAAATATACTATCTAAGTAGGGGCTATGTGGTGATATTCTATAAGACCTCTAATATGTGTTGACTTTGTAGGATACATGCATTGACTTATAACGCAAGTTTTTCTATGTGAAGGCCACATAGTTAACTTGGTCTTCAAGCTAACATGTGTAGCACATGGCCAACTTCTTGACCACTTTTCTAATCCAAAAAGTCAATTATAGACACCTATAAAATCAAAGTAGCATCTATAAAGCTTTTAGGAAGCTTCTACAGAAGATATTATAGAATTAACTTACTTTTACCTACTTCTACTTACTTCTACCTATTTATACAGCTAATTACTGGCTTACATGTGTATGTCCGTGATAAAATATTGACTTAATTCCTACTTAGTATCAATTTATTAGAATTAGTTAATATAGAAATATTTTTACTTTGTAAAATCTTTACAAATTGATTTTTAAAGCTTTCTATTTCATCATAGTTATTCCTAATAAAAAATTTAACAACTATGCGATTTGAAATAACATATAACAATTGCAAAATTCTTCTATGTCTTTGACTTGAATTTTTTGATTGGCTTGACAAGCCATTCTATCAAATAAATTTGAAAAATCAATAGTCAACATCATAAAAGAATAAACATTAAGATCCATATATTGTGAATTATTGATTTCATGACCTTATAAATTAGAGTATAGTGCAAAAAGTGGTGGAAATTGAATTAAATAAATAACAATATGATTTTTAATTGAAGAAAAGAAAAAAACATTCTAAAGTGCTAGTAGATTATCCTTTAAGATTCTAAACTTCTACACAAGAATGAATGATATTAATACATGCCATGATAAAAAATAAAAAAATCTAAATATTAATTTTTATTTTTTACAAATCCTAAGAAAAGTTTTAATAACCTTAAAATTTTATTTCTACCATCCTAAAACCTAAAAACAATTTCAGCAACCCTAAAATTCAAATTCAACCATCCTAAATCTTTAAATTAATTTCAGCAACCTTCAAATTCAATTTTAACCATTCTAAATCCTAAAACTCAATTCTACTTACCTTTAATTTCAAAAAATATTTTTAGTAATTCCAAAAGTCATTTTCAGCCACTCTAAATCTTAAAAATTAGTACCTATTAAAATCTAAATCCATACTGTATCACATAAATAGGCAATTTACTAAAATTACAATAATTTAAAGATATTTATGGCAAAAAATAGATAAATAAATAAATAAAATAAATCCTATAATAACAATATATATATATATATATATATATATCAAAATAATTTTATATCCACAAATAACACTTTAGACTTATCCACTTACGAACAAGATTGTAGACTTTTCTACCAACTAATGAAAATACAAACTTTTCAACACTTAATCTATCAAGATTAAGCATATAAAGTGAAGAGTTGTATATATGTTAAGGACAAGAATTCAAAGAATATAAATAAATAAGTGAAAAAATTCTTAAAGAAAGTTGAAAAAAATGAAATAAGAAAATTCAAGGAGAAACTAAAATGGCTATTGCCAAAAGACAAGAAAATTAGAGACTTTTGAAATTAAACTAGAAGAAAGGAAATCAATTAATAAGAGTGAGAAAGGCATCATTCTTGATTCTATATAAACTATCTAATTAGGAGCTATGTGACAACGTTCTATAGGTCCTCCAGTATGTATCCAACTTGTACGACATGTGTTCAACTTGCAAGATAAGTTTTCTATATATAAACTACATGTCTAACTTGTGCCACAAGAAGCCAATGTATGCAATACATGGCCAAATTTCCAACTTATCAATCACCAATAGATACATATAAAAACAAAGCCACATTTAAGAAGCTTCTATAAAACTTATCTACAAAATATCATCAAATTTATGTACTATTACGACTTCTACCTACTCATATTATCTAATTAATTATTAGAATAAATACAGATGTCTATGACAATAGAACAATGAATATACAAGTAAAGGATTATCTAATAAATTTTTTAAAAATATTAAAATTTAGAAGAAGAAATATATCACATTTATTTGAATAAAAAATTCTCAAAAGTTGATTAAAATCATGAAATTTATAAAAAAATAAAAAAATAAAAAAATAAAAAATAAATTAAATATTATATATGTAATTTAAAATATATATAATATAATATAATTATTTTAAATTAATATAGAAATATAATATCTGTATTAATAAAAAGATCAAATCGAATATATTTAGTACATAGAATAACTTCATTAAATATTTAGTGAATAGAAAAAGTTAAAATTAAAATATCATAAGACATCAAATATATTTTACAGATCTAAAACTTCAAATTATATGAGAATTTTTAAGGAATTAATAACAACTATTATTGATTTATTTTCAGATTATAAGTTTGATTTCAAAATAAAAATAAAAACAATCAAAAGAAGTTATCAAAAATAAATTCAAATTTTATAATCAATTCAAGAATAATATATATAGGATATTGTTAATGCCACCACAAATTTTGCTACTATCACAATAAATCATCTTGTGAAGTCCACCTCAATCACAATCCCACTCAAAACAAGAAGTAATGTAACATTCTATCAATATCACATATCCTATAACCAAATTTGCCTTATTCTTATAAGCAATCAAAACATCATGGCTTGCAAAGGTGTTAGTGGTATCAAGCTCTATGAAAGAGAAACACTATGTAAAAAGATGTGAAGAGAATGATAGATATTACACATACAAGAGAAATGTATAAGAAGGGCATTTGAAAAGAATAAATAAGATAATAGAAGACCATGCATTGAGTAGTGGTAAGTTGTGGTGGCAATAACAAAAATTATATTGACATTAGAAATACTCTCTCTCTATATATATATATATGAGAATAATGAACCCATTATATATACCCAATATAAATATAGTTTACTTTTAAGAAAAAATTTAACTTGTATTATAAAAGAGCACGATTGACATTGAACCAAAAAAAAATGTGGTGAAAGCTAGTAATCAAGGGGTATTCCCATAACGAGAATGACTACAATTGCTTACAATAGCAAGCCAATGCAACAAATAAAATTTACCATAGAACTTGCCTCTGAAGCTTAGAGTTCTTTGAAAGATTCTAGTACAGCTTCTAGAGCAATCGCCCAGTGTGTCCAGTGTGTGCCACCCTGCGCAACATATTAAAAAGCTTAGAAAGATAAGCACTTCCTGAATTGTGCTTTTATCCTACGAGAAAACCCAAAAGAAATTTCCTACTTGAAGATGGTTCTAAAGCCCCAAAACTTAGCACCGTGTTTTTACCGAGAACTCCATGAAATACATAAATGAAATTTATTGAATATGTTGTACCTGGCAAAAGACAATGAACGGTTCTCGCAAGGGACCATCACATGAAAGCTCGCTAGTACTTCCATCTACAAATGTCCCATCAGCAAAGACCACCTGCATAATACGAGAACAAATCCATAAAAGCTATCAGAAAAGCTAGCACAAACTGGCTGCATCCATTGTAGGAGTGATTTCAATTTATAACGGCCAATGTAACCTGTAAAAGATTCCTACAAGTTATCATAATTATCATTGAGATCCACCTGCAAGATCTATCAGCACCTAATGGATCTTTACTCTGATCATCACTGCAGAGCACAACTTTTCTGTAAGCACTTCGTTTCCAAGGAGTCATTTATAAGTTCCAAGCTTTTCGTGGTACCTCGTCACCGTAGCCAGCAGTAGCACCAGCAACAGGGCGAATGTAGGCACCAACAGGACAACGCTTTTGGATAGCTTCACAAAATGCTAACAGACGTTTTCGACTTCCAAGTTGCACAGCCTGGGACAAGATTCCACAACCCAAATTGAGATAGTAAGTTCATTTTCTCAAGGATTGAGACGCAACTTCGTAATAGTTGGTTTCCATATATAAAGATTGAAACATGCGGAGTTCACAATTGCAATCAGTCAAACCGATCAGCTGTACTGAAATTCCTTTATTCACGAAAAGTTGATTTTTTGTGAAAGTCACGCATGAAAGACTAATAAAAAGAAAAACCAGACATTGTCTATTTTTAGAAAATATAAGTAGAAAAATGTGGCGTATACAAAATGACACTCAAATTATAATTTGATAAAAGATATCTGACCAATTTCCTCACCTGGATTATATCATGACGACGAACCCGCGGAGGAGGTGATACTTGGTAACCCTCAGCTGCCATTACTTCCGCAACCAACAGCCCACCCTGTTTCAAACATGATTTTAGATGCTAGGCTTAAGTCCCGTAACTGTCGTGGCCCAAGGCTACTAAGTCTCGACAAATAACTCTTTAATGAGATAAGCGTGATTTTCCACCCTGCATGTATGATTATAAGAAACGAAATGACTGAGTAATCCTTTCATTTTCCAAGGCCCGCAATGCACAAACGGAGAAGTCTGGCTACGAAAGCTTTGCTTGGTTAATCGTAAATACAAAAAATAAATAAATAAATAAATAAAATCGGAAATGATCATCTTGGAATCTCACTCGTTTGTACCTTGATGGATTCACCAACCATTTGCGGTGCTAAAAACAAGCCTTGAAATAGCAGGCGCATTACGTCACCAGAGGTTGAACCTGATTCCATGCCAATGCCAGGTGCACTCAGTCTAGCTGCAGCAGCTTCTACCCACTCGCGCTTCCCAGCTATGTACCCTCCACACGGAGCTATTGTCCCCCCCGGATTCTTGATTAAACTTCCAGCCATCAGATCTGCGCCCTAGAAATGACATAGCAGAAATGGAACAGTGAGCCGGTTTAATGTACAACTTCAAGCAACGCTGGCCAAGAAGTCAGACCGTCTCGTAGACTGATACAAGCGCCGCTTCACTACAAAAAGTGATAAGTCTAGAGGCAGAATAATTCTTCTGAAGCACATATAAATTTTACAACGAGATATGACTGAAGAACCTTGACAAAATTAAGGTAGCACATATCTTGGGGACTCTGGAAAAAAAATTTCGTTCCTTCTACAAAAGAGACAGAAACAGAAGTATCATGAAAACATAATCGAAGGGAAGAACGACAATTCAACACGCACCACTGCCGTGGGTTCAACAGTCTCTACGAACTCTCCGTAACAGTTATCCACCAACACCACACAGTCGGGATTTTGGGCCTGTAAGGTCAGGTGAAAGCTTTTCAAATTTAGTATACTCTGCACATTTGTTTCAGTTGACATGTTCTTATAATATTATCCAAAAATCTCTTAATAACCACATTCCTATCATTGACTTGAAAAATGCAAACATAAAAATAAGGAGCTGGTTATTTATTTTGAGATCCATACAGCAAGAATTGCGCTATTTGTACAAGATTTCCTTGCCCAAGCACTGACACTTACCTTAATTAAGATGATGGCACGTTCAATTTCTGCCACGGTTAGAGTCTTCCGCCAAGAATATCCACAGGAGCGTTGAATAAGTGCACATTGTGTTTCTGGTTTGATAGCAGTCTCAAGTGCATTCCAATCAAGCCCGCCATCAACATGTAGCTGTAGAGAGATATCATAAGTAGCACCATCAAAATCGTGTAAATAGCAAGAGACAAGATTAATTTTAGTGATACCAAGACAAGTAATCACTGTACTACATTACGAACCTAAGTTGTAATCGAACCCATGCTCACGTTATCACTCAAAAGCCATTTCAATGCCATGAAGGTTGTATTATCTACGTCAACTCAAATTTAGACTAAAGAAAAGAATGATAAATGCTCACTGGAAGTTCTCGATACGATACGCCGAATTCCTTCAAAGATCCATGCCTCGGTGAGCCACGGAGCCCAATTACTTCTTCTAGGGTGTCGTAAGGTGCACCTGCCACGGCCAGCAGCTAAAAACCCACTCATTAGAGTTGCAGACAATCAAAGGAAATTTCACCCATTAAAAAACCAGACTACGTTCCTTACTAAAGTCGTTTCAGAAAACGCACTGGAGAAAAAGCTCAAGTTTACTTTTAACAGAACCCGATTACGCAATGCAAGTGATAGACTAATATCAAGAAGCTCACATTTTGTCCACAATCGATCAAACGACAAGAACATTTTTGATCCTTACCTCACCACCAGGTCGAAGAGCTGCGTATAGTGCACATGCAATGGAGTGTGTTCCTGAAAAAAGCTGCCATCTAACTGCAATTAAGCTCAAATGCAAAAGTGATAATTTTGCAAACGTTGATTCGCAGATATTGTTGTCTCTTACATACAGCATTTCCTCATTTCTTTACGACACAGTGAAGAGCCACAACAGAATGAGCTAACGAGCCAATCTCATCCTAGCCTCGTGTACTTACATGGGAGGTATACTAAAAAAACAATACCTGAGAGCGTACTATAGCTGCCTCGGAGCCAACAATATCTGCGAATGCAAGATCAAGAGCTTCCCGCCCACCCGCATCATTGTGACCATAACCGGTTGTGCCTGAAAAATGCTGGATGAGGAACTACACAAGTCATGACCTGCTAGACCAATTACCTCGTACAAAGGTGACAAAGATCTAATGTGACGCCTACGAATGTAACAAAAAGCAAAATTGAGTGAAAGGGCAATGCATCGCATCGTTCAAAACTGTCTGTTGATATACACCCAACCCTCTTTACACTAAAAAAATTATCTGCAACTGGCTACAACCTAGTTGAAAGTTCGAAAGCACTTAGATTCAAATAAGAATATGCCAATCATCTACTACATGTCACGATGTGCGGTATGCCGGGCATCAGAAGGACGGGGCAAAAGGCAGAGCTGCATACATGGGATCCAACTCGAGCATTTGAGAAAGCATTCAAGACGCGATTGATATTCGTTGCCACCAAGCCATCAATCTCCATAAACTCGGGCAGCAAAACTCTAGCAGCCTCTGCAACCTGTCAGGCTCCTAGTTCAGCACAGCATAAATAAGGGAGCAACATGCCTCCAATCTCACAACATTAATCCAAAATCTAATTCACACAAACATGTAAGTACGACTCAGTTCTCATTGCATTTCGAGAATGACTGGTAATTAAATTCAAAGAAAACGCAGACTTAATCAAGTCCCGCTTCAAAAAAAAAAAAAAAAGCCATTGCTGCGAAGCCATTACAGAAACTCAACAAGCGATAAAACATGAATGCACGCACAGCGACAACACACCACCTTCAAATTGCGCACACCAAAACTCAACTCCATCGTTTCAAAGCGCATTGTGCCAACATGGCTCGTACCTCGGGGCAAAACGGAGAAGCGTAGGAATTGGAAGCAGGAGAATGCAAAGAGGAAGCCCGCACTGTTGCGACGCCAAGGTGTGAGTGAGAAAGCTTGTAGGGACGCGTGGGGGTGCGCAGGCGCCATGGGCGGTGGAGGACAACGGCGCCTGGTATTGGCATCGGCAGTGCCATAGCGGCTGCAACGCTGCAACGAGGGAGCAAGCGAGCGAGGATGGATAGACAGACGAAAACGACGAGTTTAGGGCGAGGCTCCGGGTTTGGGGTGAAGCATTCGGGTTTAAGGTGAGAGACAACACGATATAGAGAGCAGGTGTTGGAGGTCATTAATCGACAGATAGATAGATAGATAGGGGAATGTTAAATAGACCCATTCTCACTACAACTAATTTTTTAAGCAGATGTAGCTCTTCAATGTTAAGCTTATAACTTATCACTAAATAGAAAGCTACAATATGAAAAAATCACAAAAAATCACAAAGAGAAGCACTCACATAAACTGAGATACTGACTTCCATGACTTCCACTCTAGGATATTAACAATCAAAAGCTTCTACTACCAAATGAGTGCAAATAACAATAGCATCAAATCGATACACAACAAAAACAAACAAAGAGGAATTATGATGTTATTTTGAAGAGCAATTAAATGAACTCAACACAAGCAAGCAATACACAAGACAATACATTCTTTTTTGCATGCTCTTATGTACCAATAATTTGGCACAACAAAGCAACATAATACAATGTGTTAACAATTGCAAAATTTCATCTTTAAAGCTTTAATAAAAGCTTCTTTTTATTATCAAATAAATGATAATAATTAAAATAAATTATTTAAAAGCTACAATAATCTTTATAGAGAAGGAGAGAGATAATTGTCATGACAAGAGAAGTAGGAGGGAATTTTTTAGATCTTAAATTATCTTAAAGAGTGCAAATAGGCAAGGAAGCAAAGATACATATAAGCAATAATGACATGGAGCTATTAGAGCACCATCTAGCATAGAAGAAAAGAACTTAGAAGAAGGATGAGATGGAAGAAAATGAAGAGAGGAGAAGGATGGAGAAGGAAGAGCCAAAAAGATAGTAGAAAAAGTGCAACATGAATAGTAAGTCAATCCAACTTAATGTGAAGCCTTATTTAAGTAAATGTTAGTATAAATATTACTTAAGTAAATATTAGTGTGAATATTAATATCTATGATATTATCTCCACTTTTGGAGACAATTTTCATAAGAAAGTCCAAGATCTTGTAAATTATATTTGCTACATACTTGAATCTTCATTTCTATTGAAGAAAGTTGCTAGGTTCTTTGAACCATTGATAGTGTCTCATACTAGGTCAAAAAGACCACCTTGTTATTTGATTATTGTTGAGATCTTCATAACTTCTTTAAAAAAAAAAATATTTGAAACTCCAATTAGAAAGATTCCTACTTCTAATAATATCACTAAACATCAAGAGCCTCATTTAACATTGTAATATCAAAGACATTATATTTTATTATATATTTAACAAAGAACATGTCGTTTTTGAGGCTCTTGATTTCTATTACTTCATTGTGAAGGCCATGAAATTCTCAATGACTTGTTTGAAAACCAAGCAAAAGATATAAAAAATAAAAAAATAAAAAAAAATCTAATTTTTCAGTTGTCGATTCTTATTTTCATTAAAACAATAATTATAAAAAAAATAAAAAAAATAAAAATAAAAATAAAAACAAACAAATAAAGATAGAAGATAAAATATAATCTTTAAAGAACTTGCTTTGATTTATAGCAAAGAATTTCTTTAGCTTTTATCTTGATTTAATTGGATATTGTGAATAAAAAGTATCAATCTTCTCTATTGTATTTTGAAGATGAGAAGTTCATATGGCTCTAATGTGTGTTTATTAATATCATATTTAGTTAATACATTCATAATATTTCAACTTATTTTAATACTGTTGTTGAATCTAAGACCTCTTCTACCTCAAACTCATTATTGTTATTTATTTTTGTAAAAAGATATGATATTTGTCTTCTTCTTGATATATCCATTGCTTTGTATGGTTTAAAAAGAGATATAAAACATGAGATGGATCTTCATAGATTTTCGTAGTAATAATTAATATACAATAATATTAACTTATTTATAAATAAAAAAAGATTAAAGTCTATAATAATCAAACATCACAAAATAAATAGTCTTGATATTACAAAAAAGTAACTATACCTTGTGATTAATATGGAATTGAGGTTGTTCCTTGCTAAAGTCATTTGCATTGATCTTTTTTTTGTTTTTGAACTTATTTAAATTGTACCTCCATTATGACATGTTATTAAGGACATGAATCTAAAAGAAAGAATATCCTCAATACAGTCTCGTATCACTAAAGAGAACTACAAAGTGACTTAAAGATGAAATGATATTAAACTAGAATGGCTATTGTCAAAAATAAGAAGACTAGAAAGTCTTGAAACAAGACTAAAGACTAAAAAGGCATTGATAAGAGTGAAAAAGGCTTCACTCTTGCCTCCATATATACTCTTTAACTAGGAGGTACGTGGCAATAATCTATAGGAGCTTGAACATATGTTGACTTTGCTAGCCACATGTCTTAACTTGCAAGATAAGTTATCTATGTATGCCTTGTTATGATGTAAAACGACTAATAGGTAAAAAAGTGAAGAAAATATCATATTTTTGAAGATCTTATTTCAAATATATTATAACAATTTATCATGGAAAAATAGATAAAAGTCAAGGGATAGAAAATTTAAAGATGCTAATGCTGCCTTTTTTACAAAATAGGCTTCTTCTCACTTTGTAAGACCACAAATAGAGTAAAATAAGGTAGATTAGAAAAATAAACAATATAGGTGCCTTTGGAAAGTAGTTAAGAGTATTTTATAGCATAAATTACCTTAGATACTCAAGAGTTGATACTCGAAGAAAACCGGTTATCAACTAGGGTTGAAATCAGATCCGTAGGCATAAAACTAAGCCTCAATGACGATTCTAGGATTCTTTTGGCAATCAAAGAATAAGATCTAAGAGTTGACTTGATGGGGTTTTTTTAACCATTGATTTGGAGTGATTTGAGTATGTATTGACTTTCTAAGAGCTTTGCAAAGTTGAGATTTGTTTTGGATGACTCTAAATTTGTGAAATAAAAGGAGTGATATTTTTTCGAGAATTACATAAGTTTGGTAATAGATCTACAAGTAATTTTTTTTGGATTTGTAGATGTAATTGTGTTTGATGTATGTTGTGATTTTAGATTTGATCAAATGGTTAGATTAGAAGGCGTAAAGGTTTTTGTAGATTATGGTCTTCGAATTTAGAGTTTTGAGGACTAGTGAGGTTTTTTTAGATATCTATCAATCTCCCAATTAGATTGAGGCAAATTATTTTCAAAAAAAGTAGTCAACTTAATTTCTAACAAGTATGTAAAGTTTGGAAGCAAAATAATAGTTCAATCATGAGTAATTGGCTCTTAGAGATTGATATCAAGGTCAAAGAAGGAGGCTGACCGATATCTAAGCATTTTTTTGAGGTTATTGTCTATTTGGTAATTTTGATCATTTTCAATTATTTTGTACTTATTTTCAACTTAATTGTTAAGAGATGTGAAAAATTTAAGTTAAAATTGATGGTTTATTCATTAATTATTGAAGTTTAAATTTGATGTAGGAATTACTTAGGATTGATTAGGATTTGATTTAGGATTAGGATTGTGATTTTGTATTGATTTAAGATTTGATTAGGGTTAGGATTTGATTAGAATTTTATAAAGATTTGATTAGGATTTGATTAGGATTTGATTAAGATTTGATTAGAATTTGACTAGAATTTGATTAGGATTTGTCTAGGATTTGACTAGGGATTTATTAGGATTTCATTAGAATCTATTTTTGATTTGTTTAAAATTTTGATTAGGATTTGATTAGGATTTGACTAGGATTTTATTAGAACTAGTTTAGAATTTGATTAGAATTTGATTAGGATTTGATTAGGACTTGACTAAGGTTTGACTAGGATTTGTCTAGAATTTAGTTAGGACTTATTAATGAGTTGATTAGGATTTGAGAAGGATTTGATTAAGATTTGATTAAGATTTGATTAAGATTTGATTAAGGTTTGATTAAATTTTGATTGAGGTTTAATTAAAGTTTTTATTTTAATATTTTATTAAGTTTTCCATATATATATATATATATATATATATATTCATTTCTATGTTATTTTTTATGATTTCTTTAAAAGATCTCTAGGAATTTTTTGTGTTTCTCATATAATTCTTTTGAAATTTTAATTGAATTTGATTGATGTTTGATTATATTTTTTAATCTTTAATAATAATTTATTTAAGAATCTATTAGAATTGTTAGGACTTGTTGTTGCAATTTTTATTTTATCTTTCATAACTAAGTGCCTAGTACATTCTCAAGCCAAACACTGTCATAATACGTGAAGTCTTGCTTGAGAATGCTACAAGCACCTAGTTGTGGAAGATAGAATGGAAATTATAACAAAAAAATTCTAATTCTAATAGAATACTAACTAAACTCTAATTAGACCATAAGAATGCTAAGAAAGCTTTAATCAAATTCAAAGAAACCTCAAAGAAATTTCAAAGAAACAATAAAAAATCTTAAAGAAATATTAGAATAATCACAAATATCTCTGAAATACATCTCAATTCAATTTTAATTTAATTTTAGTTAAAATCCTATTAGACTTCATTCAAACTTTAGGCCAAAACTAATTAAATCTTAAATCCTAAATAAATCCTAATAAAATCCTAAATCCTAAATCAAACCTTAAACTCTAAATCAAACCATAAATACTAAACTAAATCCTAAACCAAATCCTAATCAAATCTTAAACCAAATTCTAATCAAATCTTAAATCAAATCCTAAATCCTAAATGAAATCCTAACCAAACTCTAAATCCTAAACCAAATTTTAACCAAACCCTAAATCCTAAATCAAATCCTAAACAAATCCTAAACTAAACTCCAACCAAATCCTTAATCAAATCCTAAATAAAATCCTAACCAAACTCTAAACCCTAAACCAAATCTTAAATAAAATCCTAATCAAACTCTAAACCCTCAACCAAATCCTAACCAAATCCTAAATCCTAAATCAAACCCTAAACAAATCCTAAACTGAACCCCAATAAAATCCTAACCAAATCCTAAACCAAATCTTAAATCCTAAATCAAACCCTAAACCAAACTCTAACCAATCCTAAATCAAACCCTAAACCAAACTCTAACCAAAT